GCTAGAATGTCCAAATTTGATTGCTACTATGTTCGAATTTGATTGCTACTATGTCTGAATTTGATTGCTACTATGTCTGAATTTAATTGCTATAATGTCCGAATTTGATTGCTATAATGTCCGAAATTGGTATACAAAACCTGTATTTATAAACTAAACATACCCTGCATATATTCGGTCCAAAGTTTCGTTTTATAACGGTCTCTTTGTCTACAAAAATAATGTTATAAATATTATACACATACTATTCATTATAAATAAGAGAACCAACCTTTTAGCATCCCCTGGAAACCCGAATGTTAAACCAAGCCCTATGGAAGACTCCTCCTTTTTAGAATCCAATAAGGTTTCTGAAAAACAAGTATTTAAAAATGATTTTAAAGATTTCATAAGACGGACTTGGTCTTTTAAATTGTCCCTAAGAACCATGCAAAACTTATCAATTGAGGTTTTTGGCATATTGATTTGAAATAATAATTTCATTTTATGCCAATTCGAGATGGATAAAGCAAAAGCATGTGTTTTACTATAGAGACGTTCAACTCTTTGCACGGTATACAAAGGTAAAACTAGACTACATTGTTTTTTATCGGTAGATTCAAATGTTAGGTAACCTTCCGAAAGCTGAAGTTTACCAACATAAACTTCTTTCGTTTCAGGCATTACAAATTCGCAAGTACATTCTTGCATCATATGTTCTGTTATGGGCAGATTATATAATACTTGAAATTCTTTATCACGTTTTTGATCTTCGAGATTTTTTCTTAGAGGTGGAATCATTGGTGATAAAGGAGGTTCTGGTGTCAAGGGGGTACTTGGTCTTAGATTCTCAGTAAAGTTCTCGACATCATATATAAATCCTGGAGCCGGTTCAAGTGTGGAATTTTTCAATATTCGCTCCATTGACAAATTTGTCAATTGTACTAATAAATCATAAGTCTGCAAACGATAGTTTATATTTAGCACATTTATTTATTCACCATCATTTAAAGGGAAATTATTCAATCGACTTACTTCGTCACGACGAAAAAGATTCGAGAAAAAATGCTACAAGAAAATTAACTTCTTAGATTTTAGGACTCAACTCTTTGAATATTGCATTCGCTTTCTATGATATCCTTGTTGTTGTAAAACACAAACCTCATTGCCGTCCTTCGTAATAATTTTGATAGAATCGGATACTATTCCGCGTTTTGATTTTTCTTTTACCAGATTTTGTACATCTTTTAACTCTATGAACAGCTTGGTTTCGATACCAAGTATCACGGAATGGAAACCCAAATAATTTTCGCTTATATACATCCATCCTTGCTGAATGCCACGATACGCGCACGAATAGACTTAATGAATAATCATAATTAGAACAGACAATCGAATAAAACTCTTATATTATAATACTAATACATAGTTTATCTTACAACTAACTAGTCTCTCGGTGGATGCTAGATTAAAGACCTGTCGAAAAGTTCTTGATGCGTTTCGAATTTCTTGATCCTCAGAAACTTCGTCAGTTCCTTTGTCTAAATCATAAAAGAAGAAGGACCCGTGGAATAAGTTTTGGAATTCAGTTTTTGTATATAGTTATCGATCACTAATTATTGATCGATGTTTTTATAAATATAAATAATCAATATATTTTATAAAAACACATCAAATAATAATAGTGATCATTAGTAGTATATGCCTTATAAATCTTACCTTGACGAGTGACCAAAGAATTTATTTTCGTTACAACAAACTCTAATTTCTCTTCATTGTCAAGTTTTAGTAATCCTTTATCTAAATTATCTGAAATTATAAAAATGTAAATAAAATATCCATGAATGAAATTACAATTTTATTCGAATTTAAAATTACCTTCAATCCATTTCCATGCATCTTCGATCACTTTTTGAGATTTAGATACGGCAACTTGCATTGAATTCACATTTATTTCTGGTTGAAAGAGTATGCGAAAAGGAGATGCATTTGTGTCGAACCTATATTAAAAAATTAGCAAAAGAATTAGAAAAAAATTGTGAAAGTATCATTCCAAAAACAAGATTCGAATGCATACACATTATGTATAGTACTAAAAACACCTCGAACTATTGTGTTATTGCTATTACTTGAGGCTATTGTTCTTTGAAGTATAAAGTGTTTAGAAGTAGAAAGTTTAATGACTTCCCAAAAGGGATTGGAAGATTCACAAAGGGTCGGTAGCGTAAATACTCCTCGTGGAGGATCAATATGAGAACTCATTTTAAGCTATGTATTAAGCGGGAAACAGAAAGGAATAACATTTCTATGAAACCTTCAGGCCCTTCCTGTAAGGTATCGCATGTACGCACATGATCGATTCTTATTGGCAGAATCTTGCTATTCCCTAATTAATAAATTTTGTTTGTTATTACATAATTGAGATTATTATCTGGGTAGCATTGTAACAGTTCATAAAGAAACGATTGACAATTTATATGGATCAACTGAAATTTTATAGTACCAATACTAACGCTAAGTAAATTAAAATGTTCATTAATCGATTTTTTATCTTCTATTTTTGTTAATGCGTGAAAAGATTGGTAAATAAAAGCGCGAAATGAAGAATCGGGTAGGTCCATGACGTGAAACTTGGAGAGTACAGTGTGAAACTAATGTAGTTTTGCGAACTATAAGTAGTTAAGCGGGGTGTGTGTTATATGCGCCTAAAATTAATTCGACCGGCGTTAAGAAATTATGCTATAATCTTGGCTAAAATATGCATGCGTGCGTGCATTTTTCGCAGGAGTCATCGATATCTTTCAGGTATCTAATATATAAAGCCGTTTCTCAAATTAATTTCTGTGCAGAATACTGCTTTAGGCGCAGTCCCGCTTACTTGACATAAACCTAGCTGCCGCAACAAATTTTGAAGGAACCATTCGTATAAGGAAATGATTCCAATATTGTTACACGATTTAAATAAATTTTATACGCTTTATAATACGCATATACTTTAAAAAAAAAACTTGCATATATTTTTTTTTTTTTTTACAAAATAAGCATACTACAGTAGTGATCCTTGCCGATACGTAGAGAAAAAAATTGGTTAATTGGCTTAGCCGGTCGATTTTAATCGGCTGATCGATCTTGTTATAGCCAAAAACTAAGATTGTGTCATTTCTAAAAATACAAAAAAATTCAGATTGCAATTTTCATAAATTTGAAGTAACCGAATTCGATAAGTTTAAAGTTCGGCCGAGCGACTCGGTAAACTTATCATTAGAGATTTTACAGGTTCATAAATTCTGGAACAACTAAAAACATTGCCGATGATGAATCGATAAGCTACCGAATCGGAATCAATAAGTAATCAACTCGGTTGAACTCATTTAGTTGTTACAGAATTTATTATTATGAAAACAGCTGTAAAAGTTCGGTCAGTCCGACTCGACTTCATGAGTCGAGTCTCGGTCCCGAGTTAGACTTGGGACCGAGTTCTAATAGTCACATACAGTACAATATTAGATAACAATAGATAATTGAAAAAATATAACTTATAATTTATATTCAATAATAATTTTTGTTCACAGTATTCTTCTAACCAGTTTTAAAAATAATAAAGCTTTAACTGTTTGCTTTAGTGAACAGTTTCTTGTAGGCTTAATAATATCTCTTGTAATAGAAAATATAATACATGCTTAAAGAAACTATATAAAAAAAAAGATTGTTGCTATAAGTGCCAAAATAAAATATTAATAAGAAGTGTAACAAAAATCAAATGATTTTTTGGGGAAAGATAGAGTAAAAAAGTTAAAAATTGTATATCAAGATTTGATTAGATATATATTAAAAAGAAAGAAGGGTTTCACTTGGCTCTATTTTAATAATAATCAAAAAAGCTCTTATAACTAGTGCTTAGCACAATCAAACAGAAACTAAATTGGACATAAATAATTACAGGTTAATCAATACTGAATATATAAATTGGTTGGTATGTGATTATTTGATATTCAACTTAGTTACAAGTATTTGACTGTTAAATTTTTGGTTGATTAAAGCACTACTTATAACTTTATTAACTTCAAAACTATCTTAAATTCTTTAAAATTAAAATATTATTTAACTCTTTACCTATATATTTACATTTTTACTCTATATTATCTAATTTTTTTCTCTTTTCTCTTTGCTTTTATTGTAACTTTAATGACTCTTTTTTACACTAGTATACATGTTTTTTTTTTTTTAGCAATCCTGCCTTTATTGTATAAGGAATGCATAATCTAAATACATAAGTTTCTTGCTAAAGCTAAAAACCCTTCCTTCTCTTTACTAAAAGCTCATCCGGCTACTTAAAGGTGCCCAGATGTGATCTGTCGCAGCAACTCTTTTTCTCCGTTCTGGTTTTCAACTTGCTGAAAGATTATTCATCAGATCCTTAAACAGTAGTTGCTAGCCTTGTCAGGACTGTGTTTAAGTTTTGTAACTGTGTAGTCTATATAGCCCTGACCATTTCGGTTTGATGTTAGTTGTAATTACCTTTCTAACTTCTTTCTTTGTTTCCTCTCACAATTTTCAATCTGCTTCTTCGGCTGAAATTCTTTTAACTCTTGCCTCTTGGGTTTTTCCCTTCTTGGTTTTCTTGTATGTTGGATCACTTCTCTCGTCTTGTTTTCTTTTTTGTGAGTTTGTAATGTCTCTGCTCTGCTCAAATTCATTAATAGCTTCATATTTTAGTTGCCAGATTACCTCTTAAAAGCGTTTTCGTAGCTTGTAGTTGTAAATCCTTTGGATCTTCCTTAGTAGTCTATTCTCATTTCTGAGCTCTCAGAAGATTCTTCTAATATAGTTGACTCTGTTTTTGTATATCGCCTCTTGGAAATCTCCAATTATTTCTTCTTTTGAAATACTACATATCTTTCCTTCACTTTCTTTTTGTTCTTTCTTTAACTTTTTCTTTATAGCATTTTCGAATACTTCACTCTCTATTTTGCTCCACAATTTTTCATATATTTCACATATAGCTAAGTGATCTAAATCTTCTTTTTCCTGGAAGCATGCGACACAAAAATTAAATGGGTAGAGGTTTGGATTTCTTCTATAAAGCACCTTCATTGTTGGCAGTAGCCTGTTTATATACTTTATCTTAAAGACCCAATTGTGACTATCCTTCAAGCTTCTGTATCTAAATCTCACCTCTTTTCTTTGCATTCTCTATATTTCCCTCCAGTCTAACTATTTCTTCTCCATACTACTTCTAATTAAACTATTTATATATTTGCTATTTATCCAACCTATACTATAATATATTTTCGTTATACTGTCTATCATTTCTCTAATAGGAATATCTACAATATAAACATCCCACCTTGGTACTACCTTTATTAACTTAGACCATTCTACCTTGAAACTGCAATACTTTTTACAACTGTTACCCTCCTTTGCTAGCCTATCAGCTGCCTCATTTAATTTAACTCCACTATGCCCTTTCACCTTTACGAAGCTAATATCAATACCTTTAATCTCGATCAAATTTAACACTATTGCGACGATACTCCTATTCTTGAGCTTAGTGGTTTTTGTGTCATTTGGGCTAGCTCTAACCTTTTCAATAATACTGATTGTATTTGCACTATCTATAAAAATCTGTATCTTGCATTTGTTTGGTACCACTAATAATGCAAGCTCTATAGCACCTAATTCCGTTCTCGTTGAAGAAGGCCAATATTTTATTGCATCTGTGAACTGCTCTAATACTACTTCTGTGTCCTTTTTGGCTGCGACTCAGCCTATACCTATTTTTTTTGGCTCTCCGCTTCTACTATCCCTATCTAAAGAGCTATTTGTAAAGATGTCTAATTCTGCATAACTAGCCAGTTTCTGCAGTAACTTCTGGGTTTTCTCTCTATATTCCTGTTCCACTATATATCTGTCAATTAGATCTTCTTCTAGATTTTTGATTATTACTGTAGGACTTGAAAGTGAAATGGATATATTTGTTAGTATGTTAATTTTTTTGCTAAAATTTGCTAGCGGCACCTCGCACAGAATTTTGTTTTCTCCTTGCTTTTTAATGCAGTTTTTCTCTAATGCTCTTTGTTTATTCTTTAGATTCAAACCTAACTTGCATTCATTGGGCTTTTGTATGTTAGATAAACTACAGCCTTTGCATTTGTCATAAATATTCTTATTTTCTTTCTCTCTTTTCCAATATATTACTTCTATTTTTTGTTTACCTTTACTTTTTTTAAAAACCTGGCCCAATTCTGTTGTGCCTTTTTCATTTGTTAATACAACTCATTTCGCTTTTTTTTTATCGTTGGATATCTGCTGAAATAAGGGCAATAGAACTACTTGATTTTTTTTTCTATATTTGTATTTTGTATATACCTCTCTTGTTATCTGGTTATTAATCACTACACCCTCGATACTAATAAATTATAAGGGCTTCTTTCCTTTGCTCTTAAGTATACATGTTCTAGTTATAGCTTCTTAATTTAAATTATTAACTTTTCTATTAATAAGACTATTGCCAACTTTAAATTAAATCTTTCTTTTTATAAACTTAATTACTCTTAAAGATTTTATCTTTACTTTACTCATTCAGTCTATACTATCTTTTAACTTATTATATTTCATTGTCTTTTAGCTAATTATACATATTTTTAAAATCTTTAACTAATTATATAATCAAATATAAAAAATAATTTTTTTACTTAAAAAAAACATATCAAATTTCTTTAAACCTATCTCTTGTTTAATCTTTTTGATACTTTTTTTTTTTTTTTTTTTTAAATCTTTGACAGTCTTGCCAGTACTCAATTTATTGTAACTATATTTAGATAAGAGCTGAGCTCTCTCGAACAATACATTTATCATTCATAACCACAAACAGGAAGTTATCGTGATAGCGAGCCTAACATCATCTGGCTACGATAAATGTGCCTATATGCGACTTGTTGCACCAACCTGTATACAAGTTAGATAAACTTTGTCAGCCCATCAAAGCTTTTCTCTTTGTATCTCTTTTCTTTATCGAGAGCAAAAGAAAGTGATGATCTTATACAAAACCACCAATACTACCAAGAAAACAAAACAAAAACCTAACTAAAAAAAACACATAGAACGAAGAGGTATTTTAAAGGAAAAAAAAGAAGGATACAGTGAGATGTAAAAAAAGAAACACAAAAAGAAAAGCCCAATGGCTGACAAAGGGGGAAACTACCTCTATAAAGAAAATAGTATAAGAAGAACAAGATAAAAAAAACAAAACAAGAAGAAAA